AACTCCAAACACTCTGTTCCACCTCGTGATGTCATCAAGTGGGAGTTTCAAAGTTGGCATGTACGTCACAGTGTGTGTGTCACAGTGTGTACGTCACAGTGTGTACGTCACAGTGTGTATGTCACAGTGTGTATGTGGGCGTGTCACAGTGTGTATGTCACAGTGTGTGTGTCACAGTGTGTCACAGTGTGTGTCACAGTGTGTAGTGTGTCACGGTGTATGTCACAGTGTGTATGTCACAGTGTGTACGTCACAGTGTGTGTACAGTGTGTTGTCACAGTGTGTATGTCACAGTGTGTATGTCACAGTGTGTGTCACAGTGTGTCACAGTGTGTATGTCACAGTGTGTGTGTCACAGTGTGTATGTCACAGTGTGTATGTCACAGTGTGTATGTGTCACAGTGTGTAGGTCACAGTGTGTTGTCACAGTGTGTGTCACAGTGTGTGTCACAGTGTGTGTCACAGTGTGTAGTCACAGTGTGTATGTCACAGTGTGTATGTATGTGGCGTGTCACAGTGTGTATGTCACAGTGTGTATGTCACAGTGTGCGTGTCACAGTGTGTGTCACAGTGTGTATGTCACAGTGTGTATGTCACAGTGTGTCACAGTCACAGTGTGTGTGTCAGTGTGTGTCACAGTGTGTACGTGTGTGTGTACGTCACAGTGTGTGCGTCACAGTGTGTACGTCACAGTGTGTACAGTGTGTGTCACAGTGTGTGTCACAGTGTGTATGTCACAGTGTGTGTGTAGTGTGTCACAGTGTGTGTGTCACAGTGTGTGTCACAGTGTGTCACAGTGTCACAGTGTGTGTGTCACAGTGTGTCACGTGTGTCACAGTGTGTGTCACAGTGTGTGTGTGTGTCACAGTGTGTGTGTCACGTCACAGTGTGTACGTCACAGTGTGTGTACGTCACAGTGTGTATGTCACAGTGTGTACGTCACAGTGTGTGTCACAGTGTGTGTGTCACAGTGTGTGTGTCACAGTGTGTGTGTCACGTCACAGTGTGTACGTCACAGTGTGTGTACAGTTGTGTGTCACAGTGTGTGTCACGTGTGTGTCACAGTGTGTGTGTCACAGTGTGTGTGTCACAGTGTGTACGTCACAGTGTGTGTGTGTGTGTCACAGTGTGTGTGTGTGTGTCACAGTGTGTGTGTCACAGTGTGTACGTCACAGTGTGTGTGTCACAGTGTGTACGTCACAGTGTGTATGTCACAGTGTGTGTGTCACAGTGTGTATGTCACAGTGTGTATGTCACAGTGTGCGTGTCACAGTGTGTGTCACAGTGTGTCACAGTGTGTGTCACAGTGTGTATGTCACAGTCACAGTGTGTCACGTGTGTCACAGTGTGTATGTCACAGTGTGTATGTCACAGTGTGTGTGTCACAGTGTGTATGTCACAGTGTGTGTGTCACAGTGTGTGTGTCACATGTAGTGTGGTGTCACGTGTGTGTCACATGTCACAGTGTGTATGTCACAGTGGGCGTGTCACAGTGTGTGTCACAGTGTGTATGTCACAGTGTGTATGTCACAGTGTGTATGTCACAGTGTGTGTCACAGTGTGTATGTCACAGTGTGTGTATGTCACAGTGTGTACGTCACAGTGTGTGTGTCACAGTGTGTGTGTCACAGTGTGTGTCACAGTGTGTGTGTCACAGTGTGTGTGTCACAGTGTGTGTGTCACAGTGTGTGTGTCACAGTGTGTACGTCACAGTGTGTGTCACAGTTTTGAAAATAAGAGATTACATTTTCCTCAAACATTAATCTGTCCAAACACAAAAGATGTTCAAGAAAACTCAGATGAAACATTTTTATTTTATTTTTTTTGAACTTATTTTTATTAAATAATTTTGGTGCAAGTCACATAATTATGAAACAGCAGCAAAGATGCAACAGAAGTAAACTGATAACACAGTGACAGTATAGACACAGTCACACACAGTCACACACACAGTCACACACACAGTCACACACAGTCTCCTCATTCATCTTTCATCATCTACACACACACACACTGCAACAAAAACCCTACAAAAGACAGTCGTCCTTTTGACATATCGTCCTGAACTGAAGCCCATTTGTCCATGAATAAATCTGTCTTCATTTGTAACCTTGCAGTTATTTGCTCCATATGATCTACATCCTTTATTTTATTTTTCCTCTGGGTCTTTGTGGGGGCAGTGGCCTGAGCCAGGAGACGTTATCATTTTTTTTGCAATTAAAAGTAAAATTTTCAGCAAATGAAAATGGCTGTTTGTTAACAGAACACTACGTGGCTCTAATATAATTCTGATCCCCAAACAGTTTTCAATTTCACATTGCACCTCCTCCAAAATGTTGTTAGTTTAGGACAATCCCAGAATATGTGGGAATGATCCTCCTCCAGACCACAGCCCCTCAGCATCTGTCTGAGGTTCCACCAAACTGACCAGATGAAACATTTACAGAGAAATAAAAACAGTGAAGTCGTCAGGAGAAACAGAGCAGGAAGAACAAATCTGTGAGTCGATCAATTTTCAAAATAAAAAAACAACAACGAAAAAAACAACGATTTTCTTCATTATTTGTCTCCAAAACCAAAATGAAAAAACAGATAATGGACTAAACCAGGACTAAACCAGGACTAAACCAGGTCCAGGACCAGAGCAGGACTGAAAATGGTTTAGTCCTGGTTTAGTTCTGGTTTAGTCCTGGTTTAGTTCTGGTTTAGTCCTGGTTTAGTCCTGGTTTAGTCCTGTTTAGTCCTGGTTAGTCCTGGTTTAGTCTGGTTTAGTTCTAGTTTAGTTCTGGTTTAGTCCTGGTTTAGTCCTGGTTTAGTCCTGTTTAGTCTGTTTAGTTCTGGTTCAGTCTGGTTTAGTCCTGGTTTAGTTCTGGTTCAGTCCTGGTTTAGTCCTGGTTTAGTCCTGGTTTAGTCCTGGTTTAGTCCTGGTTTCAGTCCTTGGTTTAGTCCTTGGTTTAGTCCTGGTTTAGTCCTGGTTTAGTCCTGGTTTAGTCCTGGTTTAGTCCTGGTTTAGTCCTGGTTTTAGTTCTAGATAAACACTGTGGTCGTAGAACAAAAGTCCTGATATTTTCATCAATAATATTTATATTTGTTTTTATTTCTTAAAGAGACGGAGCAGATTCACAGACCAAACATCAACGAGACAAACGAGGAAATATGCATCATCTACCTCCTCGTCTCCTCCCTCCTCGTCTCCTCCCTCCTCGTCCCCTCCTCCTCTCTCCTCCTCTCGTCCCTCCCTCCTCGTCCTCCCTCCTCGTCTCCCTCCTCGTCCCCTCCCTCCTCGTCTCCTCCCTCCTCGTCTCCTCCCTCTTCAGAGGAATTCACTCTTCTCACTCACAGAACTCAGTGAACCATGGACTAAACCAGGTCTACACCGGGACTAAACCAGGACTAAACCAGGTCTACACCGGGACTTAAACAGAACTAAACCAGGACTAAACTAAGACTAAATCAGGACTTAAACAGCACTTGAACAAGACTAAACAGGACCAAACCATGGACTAAAGCTGGATTTAAACAGGATGAAACCAGGTCTACACCAGGACTGAACCAGGACTTAAACAGGTCTAAACCAAGACTTAAACCTGGACTAAACCAGGACTAGACCAGGACTAGACCAGGTCCAGGATGAGTGTGCGGGGCAGGAGGAGGCTGGTGGTCGGTTGGAGCAGGACTCTGTCGGTTCTCGCGCCCTGGAAACGAGGTACTGCATTTTTATGATCTCCCCGTGTGTGTCAGGTCCCTCCAGTGTGTGTCAGGTCCCTCCTGTGTGTGTCAGGTCCCTTCAGTGTGTGTCAGGTCCCTTCAGTGTGTGTCCCTTCAGTGTGTGTCAGGTCCTCCAGTGTGTGTCAGGTCCCTTCAGTGTGTGTCAGGTCCCTCCTGTGTGTGTCAGGTCCCTCCTGTGTGTGTCAGGTCCCTCCTGTGTGTGTCAGGTCCCTCCAGTGTGTGTCAGGTCCCTTCAGTGTGTGTCAGGTCCCTCCAGTGTGTGTCAGGTCCCTCCAGTGTGTGTCAGGTCCCTTCAGTGTGTGTCAGGTCCCTCCAGTGTGTGTCAGGTCCCTCCAGTGTGTGTCAGGTCCCTCCAGTGTGTGTCAGGTCCCTTCAGTGTGACTCAGTTTTCTTTGTAAACATGTTGAGTCGTGACTCTGTAATAACAGGAAACATCTGTGAGAAAAAAACATGAGCTCATCCAGGACTAAACCAGGACTAAACCAGGACTAAACCAGGACTAAACCAGGACTAAACCAGGACTAAACCAGGACTAAACCAGGACTGAGTTTAGACAATCTCTCACTAAAATATACTTTGTTTGTCAGTCATAATTCTCCTTCAGATGAGTCTGGTGTGGTTCTGGTCTTTGTTTGGGTCTGGTCCTGGTCTGGGTCTGGTCTGGTTCTGGTCTGGGTCTGGTCTGGGTCTGGTCTGGGTCTGGTCTGGTTCTGGTCTGGGTCTGGTTCTGGTCTGTGGAGCTCCAGTTGAACAAAACATCTTTGTTCCTCTTCAAACTTCCACAAGCTCTGGAATCCTCACCTCCTACACTCATCTCCTCTCCCTCACTCCAACCAGAACCAGAACCAGGACTGAACCAGGACTAAACCAGGACTAAACCAGGACCAGGTCTGATCCTCGTGTGTTTTGTGTTCCAGGTAAATGTGACGTGGTCGTGGGCGGTGACGTGGTTCTGACCAAAATGAAAATGTTCAGTCACTCTCAGAGGAACCTGCCGCCCCCTGCTGACCCCTTCACCTCTGACCCCTCCCTGACCTCTCACCCCTCTGACCCCTCCCTGACCTCTGACCCCTCTGACCCCTCCCTCACCCCTGTGTTTGACCTGGAAACTCTGGACCAAACCTGGACCAAATCCTCCGATCCAAACGAGGACAGTCCAAACCTGAGCCTCCCTCTGGACCCTGTGGACCCTCTGCCCCCTCTGCCCCCTCTGCCCGCCGCGCCCGCTCTGCCCCTCTGCCCCCTCTGCCCCCTCTGCCCCCTCTGCCCCCTCTGCCCGCCGCGCCCGCTCCCGTCCCCGCTCCTGTGTCTGTCCTGCCCCCCCTGGCCGCCCCGGAGCTCCTGGACTGGGACGACTCGGGGCTGGACTCTCCCTCGTCTCCCGTCGGCTCGTACAAAAGCTCCGTGCACAGCCGAGAGTCGTCCTGCGACTCCGGGACCTCAGACCCCGCGGAACCACGGACGGAACCACGGACGGAACCACGGACGGAACCACGGACGGAACCACGGACGGAACCACGGACGGAACCACAGAACCGAGAGACGGAGGAAGAGGAGGAGGAGACCAAAGGACAGACGGAGGAAGTACGTGGACTGTCAAAATAATATTGTCACTTTATTCTGAAAATTAATCGTTTTAGTCCCAATTTAATCCTGTTATAGTCCTGGTTTAGTCCCAGTTTTAGTCCTGGTTTAGTCCTGGTTTAGTCCTGGTTTAGTCCTGGTTTAGTCCTGGTTTAGTCCTGGTTTAGTCCTGGTTTAGACCTGGTTTAGTCCTGGTTTAGTCCTGGTTTAGACCAGAAGAATCATGAAGGACAAAATAACTTTGTCACTTCTGAAAATCGATCGTTGCAAAGTTTTGACTCAGATTCATTTGTTTGTTTTAGACTTTCCTGGAATCGTGTTCAGACCGGACCAAGATCCAGACCAGGACCCAGACCAGGACTGAGACCGGGTCCAGGACTGAGACCGGGTCCAGGATCGGTGATGTTCTGGAGGAGGACATGGAGCAGTGCCGCCGGCTCCAGGTCAGAGTCTGGAGGAACATTTATCTCCTAAACGTGAAACGAGAAACTTCAGGTTTGAGGAGATGTTGACAGGAGCTAAACGACAGGTGTTAAATGACAGGTGCTGAACGGCAGGTGCTGAACGGGCAGGTGCTGAACGGGCAGGTGCTGAACGGGCAGGTGCTGAACGGGCAGGTGCTGAACGGGCAGGGTGATCTCTGTGGTGATTCTGTCTGAGGTTCTGAGTTTCCTCTTTCTCTTTGTCTTTCTCTCTCTCTTCTCTCTCTCCCTCCTCCCTCTTCCTCCCTCCTTGTTCCTCTGTTCCTCTGTTCCTCTGTTCTCCTCCTGTTCTCCTCCTGTTCTCCTCATGTTCTCCTCATGTTCTCCTCATGTTCTCCTCAGGACCTGTGTGTCTCTGAGAGTTTCCATCTGATCATGTAGAGATATAGAATCGTTCCTTTGGTCAGTCGGTGTTTTTCTTGAGTCTGAGGTGACGTGGATGTTCTAGAAGGTTCTCTCCAGACTTTCCCAGGCGTTCAGTCGCCCCGTGGCGCAGGATCGGGCGAGTTGGGCACACACTGTTGCCCTCGAGCAGCTCCGTGTGGCTCCCGGCTCAGTCCTGGAACCGGAGCCTGAAGAGACGCTGCTCCTCCACTTTATACCCACAGGAACCTCCACTCAATCTGCACACGGGTCAACAACGTTTAGTCAGTCAGTCAGTCCTGTTAAGTTTTTCCTGGTTTAGTCCTTAGTCCTTTAGTCCTGGTTTAGTCCTAGTTTAGTCCTGTTTAGTCCGTTTAGTCCTGGTTTAGTCCCAGTTTACTCCTGTTTAGTCCTAGTTTAGTCCTGGTTTAGTCCTGTTTAGTCCTGGTTTAGTCCCAGTCCTGTTTTTAGTTTAGTCCTGGTTTAGTTCCTAGTCCTAGTTTAGTCCTGTTTAGTCCTGGTTTAGTCCTGGTTTAGTCCCAGTTTCACTCCTGGTTTAGTCCTAGTTTAGTCCTGGTTTAGTCCTGTTTAGTCCTGGTTTAGTCCAGTTTACTCCTGGTTTAGTTTAGTCTGGTTTAGTCCTGTTTAGTCTGGTTTAGTCCTGGTTTAGTCCTGGTTTTACAGGTGTGTGTGACTCAGCAGGATTTATGACTCTGGAAAATGATGTCATCAAATCAGGACAGATGTGCACCAGGTGTCTGGTGTTTCTAGGTGTGTGTCAGGTCAGGTGTGTGTCAGGTGTGGTGTGTGTTTAGTCCTGGTTTAGTGTGTCCTGTTAGTCAGTCCTGTGTTTAGTGGTGGTTTAGGTCAGTGTGTGTGTTTACTGCAGCAGGTGTGGTGTGTGCAGTGTGTCAGGTGTGTGTGTCAGGTGTCAGGTGTGTGTCAGGTGCTGTCAGGTGTGTGTGTCAGGTGCGGGTGTGTGTCAGTGTGCAGGTGTGTGTCAGGTGCGGTGTGTGTCAGGTGCAGGTGTGTGTCAGGTGCAGGGTGTGTGTCAGGTCAGGTGTGTGTCAGGTGCGGGTGTGTGTCAGTCAGTGTGCAGTGTGTGTCAGGTCAGGTGTGTGTCAGTGTGTGTCATGTGTCAGTGTGTCAGTGTGTGTGTCAGTGTGTCAGTGTGTCAGGTGTGTGTCAGGTGCGGGTGTGTGTCAGGTGCGGTGTGTGTCAGGTGCGGGTGTGTGTCAGGTGCGGGTGTGTGTCAGGTGCGGGTGTGTGTCATGGTGTGCGGGTGTGTGTCAGGTGTGTGTCAGGTGCGGGTGTGTGTCAGGTGCGGGTGTGTGTCAGGTCAGGTGTGTTCAGGTGGGGTGTGTGTCAGGTGCGGTGTGTGTCAGGTGCGTGTGTGTCAGGTGCGGGTGTGTGTCAGTGTGCAGGTGTGTGTCAGGTGCAGGTGTGTGTCAGGTGCGGGTGTGTGTCAGGTGCAGGTGTGTGTCAGGTGTCAGGTGCAGGTTCAGATCTCTGTGATTACAGGAAGTCTCCACATGAAACAAAAACTGACACAAAGTTCAGACTCTTCTTTGTCAGAACTAAACCAGAACTAAACCAGGACTAAACCAGGTCTGAACTGGGACTAAACCAGGACTAAACTTGGACTAGACCAGGCCTGAATCAGGACAGGATCTTGTGGGTTTGTCCTCCTCCCTCTCACCAGGAGCTTGTGGGTTTGACCTTTGTTCCTCTGCAGATTCTTGAGTCGTGACGCAGCAGATTCTTCAGTTCTGCCGCGGTTCTTATGTAACGTCCAAAACATTCCTGAGGATCTTCAGTTTCAGACGCAGAGCGGAGCAGCTCTGAAGCGGGACCACAGAGTGTGTGTGTGTGTGTGTGTGTGTGTGTGTGTGTGTCTTGGCCAAAATGTAAAATTTAAAAACTGAAATCTGTCAGAAAATGAGTTTAAAGTGTTGAGATGTTGTGTCCAGGCAGAAGATCTTTTTACTGAACAAGTTCTCCGTCAAATAATCGACTCTGGACGAGACTGAAGCGTTTGTGCTCAGAGTTCAGGAGCTGGACAATAAGTTTATGAAGCTCAGTTGGAGATAAACAAACTTTTATGGACTTTTACAAATGTTTTTGACCTGATAATAAATTCAAAGATGTTAAATTGTAGAGAGAAAATCTTGAAATTGTTCGTCGTCGTCTTGTGTCACTGAATCTAAAAACAAGTGAAGAGTTGCAGGAGAAACTGGATTGTCGCTTCTTCTTTTAACATTTATTGTATAAATTTAAGATTTTCTGAGGAGTTGAGTCATGGAAGAAAAATATGTGACACTTTTTAACATTATACCACCGATTCAGAACGAGTAAGTGGATCAAAACCTGATTTAAGTCTTAAAATCTTGGCCAGACCAGAGAAATCCCTGGTCCTGGTCTAAACCCGGTCTCTCTCTGGTCCTGGTCTAGGCCCGGTCTCTCTCTGGTCCTGGTCTAAACCCGGTCTCTCTCTGGTCTCTGGTCTAAACCCGGTCTCTCTCTGGTCCTGGTCTAAACCCGGTCTCTCTCTGGTCCTGGTCTAGGCTCGGTCTCTCTCTGGTCTCGAGTACTTGGAGCAGGTCTGCAGACTCGTGGAGAAGATCAGTGGACTTCAAAACCTGGTGCTCCATCTGCAGAGACAACTGAGGACCCAGAACCCGGACCGGACCCCGGACCGGACCCTGGACCGGAGCCCGGACCGGACCCCAGACTGGGAGCAGCTGGTGAGTCTGGTTAAATATGACCAGGCCTTTAGTCCACACACGTTCACTCGGGTTTGGTGAAGGATCTACATGAGCTTGTCTCTGGTTTGGTTCCTGTCACAGACTGAAGCAGCTGCTCCTCAGAGGAACCACAGGCTCCTGTCCCTGAGCTGTGGAGCCAAAACTGAGACTGAAATCTGCACATTTAAAAAGATCTGACTCATTCAGGGGTTCGGTCAAGTGGTAACGGAGGGAATGAAATATGCAGCACTTTTTGGTCAAGTAAATCCAAACAGTGATAACTCTTGGTTCTCACTTACATATCCTTAACAAACTGGTTTGAATATTTGCTTCATATAGTTTTCTACCATATGGTACAAGATTAGGTTGAAAAACCTCTGACTTTTTGACTCATGAGATTTTTTATTAAGAAAGTTCATGGTAACGGAGGGGAAAAGTAACGGAGGGAAAATTGTACAAACAAGTAGAAGGTGCAGGATTTTACATCATTTGTGGCTTTTTTTTCTTCTGAAAACTTTAATATTACTTCAAAATGAAAGAAACTATTTCTATAAAATATGTCAGTCCTTCCAAGAACATTTTTATCATTTTAAAAAACTTTTTTTTTAAAATCCTGTCCCTTCATCAACAGTTCAAAGATGGAATAACACAAGATATGATGAAATACAAACATTTATTTACATGATTTTGTCTTTGAAATTTGGGAAATAATTTTTGTTCCATGTTTCATTCATGGTCTGTTTAAAACAGATGGAACTTTACAACCAAAAATGGAACAGAAAAAAGGTCAACAGTTTGATAAACTAGAGACATATGTATCTGTTCAATACATTTTTATATCAGATGCATCGGTAACACTTTATAATAACTACACATTATTTAGCCTTAATAAAGCATGAACAAAGGCTTAATTAATAATGAACAAAGGCTTAATTAATAATGATTCTTAGTAACTACTTAATTACTGCCTGAATTAGCACTTGCACTTAATTTGCCTGTGCTGTAAATATTTACTCATAATTATTTCATACTTAATTACTCATGAACGAACCATTTGAGCATTTATTAATCATTAATAAACTATGAGAGAATGATTTACTAATAATGTAATACAATGATCATTCAGGCAGCTGTTCTCTGTTAGTTAAGTCTTTCTGAGCTTTTCTAAAGTGAAGACAAATTATCCTTTATTAAAGCATTTACTAAGTGTGAATCATTATTAATTAAGTCTTTGTTCATGCTTTATTAAGGCTAAATAATGTGTAGTTATTATTATGAAGTGTTCACTGATGCATTAACTTGAATTTTTGGCCTTGTTGTTTACTTCTGTTGGACGTCGCCTCAGACAATTTGTACTTTTTTTTTACTGAAGATGTTTTGATTTGGTTCTTTCAGGATCTGAGCCTCAAGTCAAACCACGTCTCAAACCACGTCTCTGCTCCTCTTCAGGTTCTCCTCATGAAGCTCTGCACCTGTGGAGCCGCAGACCAGGTCTTCCTCAGAACCCAGACCCAGAACCGGACCGGGTCTCTGGACCAGGATCTCAACCAGGATCTGAGTCGGGACCTCAGGAGCGTCTCAGGGTCGTCTCACCGGATCTACAGGACCAGAGGTGAGGAGGGGAGTCGGGTCATGTGCAGGCGTCGTGTGGATCTTTTATTTTTCATGTTTTGGTGATGAGAAAAACATGTGAGCGAAGCCCCGCCCCCTCTGCTCTGTTTGGGAAGAAAATGTTTTTGGAGCCGGAACGACGAGAAGAGACGGAGAGAGAGAGAGAGGAGAGAGAGAGAGAGGAGAGAGAGAGAAGAGAGAGAGAAGAGAGGGAGAGAAGAGAGGAAGAGAGAAGAGAAGAGAGAAACGCCGAGGGAAAGATAAACCCGAGAGGAGAGAGGGAGGGAGAAGTGAAAAACAGAGGGAAAGATAAAGTCCAGCTGTGAGCGGAGGGAGGACGAGGAGCGAGGGAACGTCCTGATAAACGACAGGAAACAGAGACTGGAAAACAGGTTAGAGGAAAAGAGAGAGAGAGAGAGGAGCGAGGGAACATCCTGATAAACGACAGAAAACAGAAGCTGGAAAAACGGTCAGAGGAAAAGAGAGAAACACAAAAAAACAAAAAAACTTTGATGAAACAAACAAAAAAAAAGACAATTTCTGAAGTTTCTAAAAGTGTTTTTGTGTTTAGGGAGCGAGAGCGAGAGAGAGAGAGAGAGAGAGGAAGAACACACACACCTGCACCGACTACAACCTGCACAGACAGGTGAGACCCTGCACAGACAGGTGACAGACAGGTGAGACCCTGCACACTTTTGTGGGCGGAGTCTCGTCCTCTGAGCCTCTGGTCTGTTGAGTCTGATCTCACTTCTTCTTCCAGCTGAGCGACAGGAGCGACAGGAGCGACAGGAGAAACAGGAGCGACAGGTGCAGCTCGTCCTGGGGCAGAGTCCAGGACTTAGTGACAAGAAACCGGTTCAATCCGGACCAGACCAGTTCAGATCCCGGTCCTTCAGACTCAGGACAGTGGTCCTTCAGACCACAGACCCACAGACCACAGACCACAGACCACAGACCACAGACCACAGACCCACAGACCCACAGACCCACAGACCCACAGACCCACAGACCCACAGACCCACAGACCACAGACCCACAGACCCACAGACCCACAGACCACAGACTCACTGACCCTGTCTCTGTCTGCAGACTGGACCAGGGACCGGACCAGGCCCAGACCCGGAGCTCCATGATCCTCCTGGACCAGAGTCTGGACTCTGGGGTCCAGTGGTCCTGAAGTGTTTGTGTAGAACCTTCATCAGCCAGAACCTGCAGCTCAGACCAGAGTCTGGACCAGACCAGGACTAAGTCTGAGACTGGGTCCTGGTTTAAACTCAGTCTGGACTCTGGTTTAGTCCTGGTTAAAACCTGGTTCAGATCAGATCTGGTCCATAAAGGAAAGACTCAGAGAAAACAGAAGCACTTTTTTAATATAACGTGACATAAACGTTCGTTCTTGTTGTTCTTGTTGTTCTTGTTTGTTCTTTTTGTTTGTTCTTGTTGTTCTTGTTGTTCTTGTTGTTCTTGTTGTTCTTGTTTGTTCTTGTTCTTGTTGTTGTTCTTGTTGTTCTTGTTGTTGTTCTTGTTGTTCTTTTGTTCTTGTTTGTTCTTGTTGTTCTTGTTCGTTCTTGTTGTTCTTGTTTGTTCTTGTCGTGTCTGTGACTGGAGCGTTTAGTTCCATTTTAAATGTTTCATTATTTATACTTTTTAAATTGTATTTATTCCCTCTGCTCCTCTAACTGTGTTAAAGTTGTTTTTGTGATTTTTGAGACTTTTATTTTGTAAAACAAACTGAAAAAAGTTAAAACATCAAAACATGATTTTATTTGTATTTTTTATATTTAACACTCTTGTTTTATATTAAATTATTGTTGTTTTGTATCAAATATATTTTGGAAATAAAAAAGTTTACAGAGTGAAGTGAACGTGACGTGACTGTGGTGCTGGCGCCCTCTGCTGGACGCTCAGTGGAAGTGTGAGCTCTGACACATTTAGTGGGACCAGTGTTTATTTGTGTTTATTTGTGTTTCTTTTATTTATTGTATAT